TACACACCGTCACTTTAATATTGCAGCTATCAGTACAAGTAACTCATTGTTTATGTTAGCAGCTAGCAAATTAGCCTAACGAGCTGAAAGTGAGCCACAGCATGCTTCCTTTTAAAACCAAGCATTCATGTTTGTAATGGTACAGCAAACAAAATACATGGGCTAAGGGTAATGAAACATCACAAATGTTAATGTTATATCTATAAATACAAAAAGCTCACAGTTGATGTTAGCAGCTAACAAGCACATTATCTTCTGGAGGTGTCGCTCTTCGTCTGCCACAATGTGCTTCTTTTTGAAATAAAACGTATTTGTGTAGCGTTAGAGCAAACACATGACGCATGCAAAGTATAGTGACATCACCATCACTACTGTTTATGCATCAATATAAGTAGCTCACTGCTGATATTAGCAGCCAAATAGCGAACTAGCCGAAGGCATTAACTGCCTCTTTGTTGTCGACCACTATGTGCTTCATTTTAAGAGGCTCATGCATCACCATTGTACTGTTAACCCGGGTCCACACACTGAATCAGCAGGGCGGAATGCTGTTGCTTCAAATTGCAATCCAATGTAGTCTATAGGTCGATCCAAACTGGACGTGGCGCGGAGCACTTCAGGAACATCCCAGAAGCAGCTCACCACGCCGCGCCATTAAAAGGATTGGATTTGACTTTTGCTGCCAGCTGCTTCTAGGATACGTTTATTTCCATAGTTAACATAGGACTAGACAGGAAATTACACACTGTTTCAGTGTAAAACATCTGGTGATTTTTAAAATAAAAGACTAATGCAGAGACGAGATTTATCTATGTAGATTATGTCAATAGGTGTGACCTAATGGCTTATTTGCTCGCAGAATATTTCCAGAAGTGCAACGGTGTGTTTCTTATGGCTTTAATCCTGGCAGTGGAGAGGCACAACATTACATATGACATCAAACAGCGATATCAAACTGGATCTCCTTCTTTTTGGTTCAATGGTGGATGTCATAAACAAACAGCGAACGTCAAAGTCCCAAGATCTTGCGAGTCCAGCGAGGAGGACAGCGGACAGCTCTATGGCTGAGACTCCCCCGGTGTGGACCGACGCGCCGCGTAAACCGTTCTGCACCGCTGATGCCTCCAGTGAGAACCCAGGGTCATGGATGGCAGGCTCTACCTTGCAGATTTTGCACTTGCTTCTCAAATTTGAACTAAATGCTTAAAAAATTCTTTAGCTCTGTTGCCAGCTCGCTATGCAGGTTTGAGCTTTTGCGAAAACAGCTGACCTGAACCCAACTACTGCATATGTCCGTCAAGAGCAGAAAAGCAGACAAAGCAGTTACATAAATATAAATATTTTATAAAACTATACATTATATAAAAAATATTTTGAGAGGAAAAAACTAAGCTTAAAAAATAAATGACGTTGATTATTACATTTGTGGTAAACAACTTTGGTAGTTGATGTAATTGTTACTAATCGACCAATCTAGGCTGCACTACTCTCTACTGAACCTTTTCTTCTATCATATTTTGGTTTTCTCTGCATCTCCCTCTGCTTCCTTGGGGATTGATTCCCACATTTCCAACTGTGAAACACTGATTTCAGTCATTTTTCCCCCAATAATTTTAGATACAACCCAACACACACACACACACACACACACACACACACACACACACACACACACACACACACACACACACACACACACACACACACACACACACACACACACACACACACACACACACACACACACACACACACACACACACACACACACACACACACACACACACACACACACACACACACACACACACACACACACACACACACACACACACACACACACACACACACACACACACACACGCAAAAAGACCGTCAAAGCAAGAAAATGTTCGTCAGAGCCAGGTTTGTGAAGCGCTGGACTCAGACTGCAAAATTACGCCATAAACAGGAATAAGAGAGATAATAAATGTTCAGCTAATAAAATGGTGACGGATGGTACTTTTATTTAGAGGTTAAACATTTTATTTAGATTTTGCACTTGAAGGAGAAAAGCTATTATCATGGTTTCAAGAAGACATTGGTTTCTCACTCTAAGTAAGAAGTAAGTCTTCGTCTTCGTCTTCGTCTTCCTCCGCTTATCCGGGTACGGGTCGCGGGGGCAGCATCCCAACTAGGGAGCTCCAGGCCGTCCTCTCCCCGGCCGTGTCCACCAGCTCCTCCGGCAGGACCCCAAGGCGTTCCCGGACCAGATTGGAGATGTAACCTCTCCAACGTGTCCTGGGTCGACCCGGGGGCCTTCTGCCGGCAGGACATGCCCGAAACACCTCCCCAGGGAGGCGTCCAGGAGGCATCCTGACCAGATGCCCAAACCACCTCAACTGGCTCCTTTCGATCCGGAGGAGCAGCGGTTCTACTCCGAGTCCCTCCCGAATGTCCGAGCTCCTCACCCTATCTCTAAGGCTGAGCCCGGCCACCCTACGGAGGAAACTCATTTCGGCCGCTTGTATCCGCGATCTCGTTCTTTCGGTCATTACCCAAAGCTCATGACCATAGGTGAGGATTGGGACGTAGATCGACCGGTAAATCGAGAGCCTGGCTTTCTGGCTCAGCTCCCTCTTCCCCACGACAGATCGGCTCAGCGTCCGCATCACTGCAGACGCCGAACCAATCCGCCTGTCGATCTCCCGATCCCTCCTACCCTCACACGTGAACAAGACCCCGAGATACTTAAACTCCTCCACTTGAGGTAGGACCTCTCCCCCGACCCGGAGGTGGCAAGCCACCCTTTTCCGGTCGAGAACCATGATCTCAGATTTGGAGGTGCTGATCCTCATCCCAGCCGCTTCACATTCGGCCGCGAACCTACCCAGCAAGAGCTGAAGGTCAGAGCTGGATGAAGCTAGGAGGACCACATCATCCGCAAAAAGCAGAGACGAGATTCTCCTGCCACCAAACTCGACACACTCCACAACACGGCTGTGCCTAGAAATTCTGTCCATAAAGGTAATGAACAGAACCGGTGACAAAGGGCAGCCCTGGCGGAGTCCAACCCTCACCGGGAACAGGTCCGACTTACTACCGGCTATGCGGACCAAACTCACGCTCCTCTGGTAAAGGGACTGAATGGCCCTTAACAGAAAGCCACCCACCCCATACTCCTGGAGCGTCCCCCACAGGGTGCCCCTGGGGACACGGTCATAAGCCTTCTCCAAATCCACAAAGCACATGTGGATTGGTTGGGCAAACTCCCATGCCCCCTCCATCACCCTTGCAAGGGTATAGAGCTGGTCCACAGTTCCACGGCCAGGACGAAAACCACATTGCTCCTCCTCTATCTGAGATTCAACTATCGATCGGACCCTCCTCTCCAGTACCTTGGCGTAGACCTTTCCAGGGAGGCTGAGGAGTGTGATCCCCCTATAGTTGGAACAGTAAGAAGTAAGATTTCACATAACTCTAGCAGCACCTCGTGAAACATATCTACCACTTTTTTAACTCTGAACAGCTTAAATAACCTTAATTCCCTTAAAGCGGTAGATATGATGTTTCACAAGGTGCTGCTAGGAGTTTTGTGAAATGTTACTTGTGATTTTACTATATAAAACATAATAATAATAAACTTCTCCTCCATGTTTGCTCGGAGGTGTACGGAGCATCCTGTCCGCTCATTGGTCAGTGAATGAAACCTCCGTTGATTGGTCCTCGTCCGAGCGACAGCGATGAAAAGTTGAAAATGTTTCAACTTTCTGGGATCGCGTCGCTGGGTCGCCTGTGCACGAGCACAAAATTTCACACGCACGTTTTTTGCGTTTTGCTTGGTAGGAGGGAAACCCATGATTATCGCTTTGTTGTGCACGTCTCATTGAAAATGAATGGAGGAGAGGCGATGTCGCCTCCCGTGTGTCGAGCCCATAAGGCTTCAGGAATCGTACTGCATGAATAACACTACCTTCAATCACAACAAATGTTGCAAACGCATGCCATGCTGCTTTATTTACAGACTGACAATCCAACGTTGGCCTTAATGTTCTGATGACTGAATAAATCTGCTCTCTTTCAACCTGCTGATGAACATGACGCAATGTGATTTACAGGTGAGTCTGAAGAAGCTGTGCAGACACAACAAACGACTGGCACCTCTCTGAGAAGCAAAAATCACAAACAACCCACTCGCTGCTTCACAGCCCTTCAACACAGGCTGCCCAGAGGGATTCTGGGAGATTTACTCAACTGCCATCTGCAGCAAAACAAGCACAAACAGACATGTGGGAAAAATATAAACGCATACATGAAAAAGTTGTAAACCATCATTGTGAAAATGCAGAAAGGGGAATTGTCAAATAGTGCATATTAGCACACGTGCACACACACACACACACACGTGCACACACACACACACACACACACACACACACACACACACACACACACACACACACACACACACACACACACACGCTGTTCTGTAGGCAGCTTATTTTTCCTTTTTTATTCTGATTGTAATGACACACAGCTGGAAAATGAATCAGCTAATGTTCACATCTGTGTGAAAAGGGCACACTGTGATGCCTTCACTGCAAGCTGGGAGTTTCAGATGTTCGTCAGCAGCAAATGGCTTCTTTACAACAAGGACACAGCAGGTCAAAAGCAAGTTCTAATTGTTTTCAGGTAATAATTGACACAGAGCGACTACATAATATATTGTTGTAATGAAACTCACCTAGTTACATTAAAACAATTAAGTCGCTGAGGGGGGAATATGTGGCGCTGCATCAATCAGTTTCTATGTATTTATGGAGACGCCTAACAGTCAAAAAATGATTTTTTTATACACAAACTGCTTTATGATGTTTGCATAATAGTATTAAAGGGATTATGTCAGCTCTTCGTCTTCGTACTGGTTCAGTATGAAAGGAATGTTGCAACGAGCAGATGATTAAATTAAGCCTAATATAAAAATAACAAAAGAAGTTTTAATAAAATGTGATTTTACTTACAATCTGAAAATCTGCAGCATCCAACAAATGGAGCTTCTGGTCAGGCGGGGGTGGGTTGTAAGGATTCCGGTGGTGGGGGGCGACCCCCTCAGATGTCCTGCAATAAAAAAAAAAATTATAAATAAATAAAGATAGAAAGAAAGAAATCCATTTGATTAACTGGCCTTTTTTTAATCATTTTTATTTTGCTTATTTTCCCCATCAGGTGGGAGGAGTTAGGGTCTGAAGTTAAGTGAAAACATTGTATTCTAAATGTAGTGTGGTATTAGGGCTGGGCAACGTTACAGCAATAAATCAAAAATGTATCGTTATCAAAATTTTTGACTCTTATCGTGATTATTTTTCCCATGCCAATAAATTGATAATTAAAAGACAAGATGTGTGTAGGCTGGCGATGTTCATGTCTCTTTAAGAAGCTGTACCACCTTGAGTCACGTAAAACCATGACTCAACTAATACATCTGACAGCCCCATCTAGTTGACAACTTTTGTTTGTGCGCATACCTGTAGTTATCGTCCATTTATCGTTATCGAGGTGAAATCCTCAATATATCATGATATTAATTTTAGGCCATATCAGGAAATTTCTGAGAAAGGGAAAACTGACTGGGAGATACGATTGTTTGGTCCTGTCAGACGTGCCCTTTCAGGACCGCCAAGACATCAGAATATCGTAACTGAATTTGCAATGAGTGATGTCACCGATCAGCATCCAAAAGCATGCATGGACATTAATAACGTTAAAGTTTTATTCTGTCAAAGAATGCTGTAATTTAATCCAATCAGAGGACCGGGAGAACTTCTGTGTGAGGTAAAAAGTGGCGTTCAATGACCAAAAGAAGTGCTGTTTATTACAGTTCTCTGAGACAAAAAAGCCCCGTGAAATATGTTCTTGCTGCCTTTTTCTGTGTTGAGTGTTTAGTAACACGGAGCTCAGGGAACGCTTCTTATTCTCTTGTGCTTCCATCCTTCTTCACCAGCAACTCTTCTAATTTTACTAAAGGTGGCTGTTTTGGGTGATGTCTCGTGACGTCATTTCCTACTGCATTACAGCAAAATTGGCACAAATTCATCAAAATTCGTACTCAGTGACTCTACTCGCCATTCCAAGTACCTACCCAAGGTCAGGTACTTCGCTGGCTCCCGAAAATGACCCTGAAAATGGTCCTTTTGCCCAACCTAGTGGACCCTACTCTGTCAACCCATCCAATGAGCAACAAATACCAGGAAGGACCCAAATGTTTCTTTGCATAAGACGAACAGAAAACGCTCAATTTCACAAGACTGCTATGAAAATCAATTATCCACAATAATGTCATTATCTGAAATCCACCAACTGGTGTTGTAAATGTTGCTCTTTGCTTAAGGAGTAAACTTTCCAGGGACATTCCTGTAGTAAGACCACAATGCACCAGTAGGATTGACTCTTCACCTAATACACAAAAGGACTGGAGTCTCGTGTTGCTGCCGGATTCTTAAGGGTCTGGAACTAATTAGATTCCTCCACTCTGCAGGATTGAAGATCCGGTCTCCAGAGAACTAAAATCTCATCTGGTGGCAGAAGTCCAGATCGAAGAAAATCTAATCAGCTGATGTTTGGCGTGAAGCCAATCTTCAAGACGGATTTCATTCAAGAAAAAAGCCACCGAGCCAGAATCAACGTGGGCATTAGACAAACAAGCAGAGGGGAGGAGAGGAAGTTAATCACCAAGACGTTTCCCTTTTCTGCTGCATCATCTAAATAGATCTGGAGTTTATTTTAACATCTAAAAATCTTGAGCTTTTATCAGTTTTTGTTTTCTTTTAGTTTCATTTAAAAATGCTCATCTGAAGAGAAGCACCCTGACTTTTTAATGAAGGAGCTGAAAGATTTGAGCATGCTAACCTTTCCAACAAGGTAATGGGAGCCATTAGAGCAAGCAGCCACCAATTGGAAGAGACCTTCCTAACAGGGTCAAACAGTGAAGGATCATGGGAGAACGTGGAGATGGAGGTGTGGACTAAGATGTGACATTTTAACTCATTTGGTTTAGTTAAAATGAACTCATTACTTGGCAAAACCACATCATTTATTTCTTCATTTTTGTAAAAGCCATTAAAATGTCAGAAGCAGATGCTCTGACTCACTTCTCATCCCTAAACTCAAAATGTGTCGACTTCCAATATCAGTTATCCAATTATTGTGTGGAAACTAAAAAGAGCAATTTACAAAAATGTCCGTGTGGTCCAAGTATGATGGTTGATCAGCAGAACGCTCATCTATATGTGTGGATCTGAAACTAGCAGCTGAACTTGTACAATTATCAATCAGGCTGCTTTGAGAATCTGCTTTCGTGGTGGTTGGGATTACAAAAGAAACACTAATGATACCACAGTGGGAACTGTTAAACATTTTGTACTTGGAAACAAAGATGGCAGGCGGCTCCAAGTAGACTCTGCTGGATCGCTTCTGTGAGCGGACTCCCAACATTTTGTGACGGCAACCACATTGGCAGGAAATCAAAAGTTAAACTTCTAATAAATCCACCTGCTGTTTCTTCAGCTGCTCAAGAGCTGATTTTGTAACTGATCCGCGTTGGTTCTCCTATCAAAGAGCCAACAAGCCATCGAAGGCGCTGCCAAAATAATTCGGCACAGGACTAATCTCAAAATAAAAACTCACAAACTAGATGATGCCTCATTAGTCACAGCTGTGGAGTTGGATCAATCAGATGATAAATATATTTGTATAGGGCTCTAGTAAGTGCTTGAACCGAAAACCCTAAATAACTTAAATAATTGTCAAACAGAAACAAAATCCAACTACATTTCCCCCTCACAGTAGTTTTTATTCCTTCTCCCATCTGGTCAACAATCGATTATGTGGTTGGCAGCTCCTCTTGACTCATGACCAAAGGGAGCCTAAGCCACACCCATCTACTTCCTGATCATGGGTTCAAATAAACTGCCAAATGAATGGGAGTCTATGAAAGGATAAGTGTTATTTTCTGATCCAATTTATTATGTGATATGGATTCATATACAAAATCTGTAAAGTTTAAAGTGGCAGTGTGTAGTTTTCAAGTGCTGGGGTGGGGGGTGGTGGGGGTGGGGGGGGGGGGGTACATACATTTCAGGGTAGTTTTTCACCATATCACCATTAGTGTCGCTATTAAAAAAAAGCATTACAGTAAATGTTGTTACCTGTGGAGCAGAAAGCACACAACATTGGCATGCCTCCTCAGACTTTGATGGTCCTTTAGGTAATTCCATCGAGAGAATGCAATGCTGATGCTAGTTTTCTTGAGCTGTAGTTTTCAGATCTGCTCAGGGTCCTGCGCCTGCTGATGACATCACACTACGGCAATACCGCTTGGCCAAAATATATTGCATCTCTTTTAATTCGGTTCATCAACATTAGTTTTGGAGTTTTCTTAGTACCGAAATGTTTATGAAAGTGGTAACATAGCTTCCGTAAGTCATACATCCAGCCAATCTAGTGCAATGTCAATGACGAGCTCAGGACCCCAAGCCCAGCAGAAGGAAACATGACGTCTAATGTTGCATCCCCCAACGGCGCTAGACCTGCACAACATGTACTTTAGACCTGTTTTTTATGGTTATATGGTACAAAGTCACCAATATAACAACTGGACATCATGTTATTCATTTTCAACAATGTTTTGTTATTCAGAGATTAAAGGTAAAAACTACAACGTTTACAATGTTTAATGCCAAGAAAATGCTTATTTTCAAACGACAGCAACAATTATGCAATAGAATTAAAATAAACTTCTTAACATGTTTAGTCTTGGGTTGGGTAACATCAAAACAATGTATTGCCATTTTTGTTGCCAAAGACAATGTAGATATGCCAAACACACATTCCAGTAGAAATAAATAAAATCTTTCCAGGTTCCATTGTTTTATATAAATGCTAATTGGTTATTTTGTGGTTTAGCAGTAAAGCTAGAGCATGGACACCATGTACTGCAAACTAAGAGAGGAGAAGCTAATCGATTAATCAGACCAGATATAAGCTAATCAGTAGTGGCAGCCGCACAGATTTATCATTTTGAAACCAGACCGTCCAATTGGCTGTGGTCACTGGTTTCCATAGAGACAACTTTGATGGGTCATGTTGTTGCTTTTGAGGTTTTGTTTTCCCGTTTGAGTATTGTCACAAGCCATATTAAACCTCTCAACAACACATCTGATCCTTATCAACCATCACACACACACACACACACCCCCAAGCAAACAGGCAGAGTCATCTGTTTGTCCTGCACTAATCCCACATGTGATCTTTTCAGAGGTTAATCCGCTGTGACTATCTGCTGCTATCACTCTGCTGTTGTGGATTTACTTTCATCACCAAACTGACATTTACTTAACTCCTTCATCCATCTTTTTGGCTTCCTCTGCAGTTTAACCCTCCACCTTCATCACTTTCTTTTAAACCTTGCAGCAGTCTGACGCTTCTCTTCTCATCTCTTCCTCTCCTTCTCTTCCAGTTTGACGATTCTATGTAATCTCTGAAGATCACACAGTCTAAAAGCTTTATTGGCAGCACTGCAACATTCAGAACAACACGGCAGATGACAAATAAGATTTACTAAACTGTGCTGCTGCAGTTTTAATAAAAAGGCATCAAGGGGTTTTAATTAGAGTTCAGGTTGTGCAGGAGTGAAGCTGGGTGCTGTGATGGCTTTTATAGCTCACTACATACTCACGCTTCTCCATCCTCGTGCCGCTTTAACTAAACATTCTATAGTTCCCAAAGGAAGATGGTTGAAATGGCATGTTTGGTCCAGCTACATGGATATAAAAATGTGTGGTGTTGGAGTTGGCATTGCCATCAGCTCATTTTTTCTACATCAGTCAGTAAAAGTTGTGTCCTACCAATCATAGAGCATAGAGCTGTTTGGTGGGACAATCACAGTGCTCAGTTTGGTGGGCAGAATAACCCAACAAAGTTGAACGACTAAGATGCCGTGGCTTGTTTGAAACGGCTTTGGCGTCAACTTTGGACACTTTAGACTTGGACCGTTATTTAGAATAAGGAAGTTTTTGCGTCTTCAACAGTGTACGGTGGACAGCCCTGCTGACTGATATCCG